TTTGGGCCCCCCCCCCCCCCCCGCTTTTAACTGTGGCTTGTGATAACGCGAAAAGGCGTTTTATTTTCCGTCTTCTGTAAACTTCTCCAGGTGGTCAGCCGTGTTGCTCTGAAGCACTGGACTCTAAATTTGTAAATCGATCATTTGTGATTTTTCTACTCCTTACTGGGTGTTAATTGGGAGCCCCTTGCAGCAATTATGAAATGGGAAATGTGGCTTATAAATACCTCAAGCAGGTTAAAAAAAAAAAAGGTGGGTTAATGCACCCCGGGGGACTGGAACGGCCCATCCTTCACAGTTTTCAGTGGCAGTGGTTTTAACGGTAGCTTTTGGAAAAGGAGGATCGCCTCTGCCGGCTTGTGTGTGTATGTGTGTGTGTGTGTTTCCTTCTCTCTCTCCCCCTCACACACAGGAAAGGAAAGGAGATTGGGGAGGGGAAGCCAGTGAGCCAGGCCTGATCATTTTTCATACCGCGAGCGTTAAAGTGCCACTAAATTGAACATTAACGAGGCCGAGTGAATCGGAGGCCTCGCTTCCCCCAGGAGCTGAGCTGCCCATCAGTGCATTAGAAAGGAGAATCCATTACCGCAGGCCCCAGGAGAGAATTAAATCTTTCCCAGAAACTACCTGCCGCCAATTCCGTGCACGCAGTTTGCCCCTCCCTGCCTTTCCCCCCTTCTCTCTCTCTCTCTCTCTCTGTCTCTCCCCCACCCCCTTTTCCCCCCCCCCCCCCAATCCTTTGGTTTCCGTGCAAAATGCTTAATTTCCAAAACTGGAACAGAACCGGATGCTTTCAAATGCATGGTTGGAATACAAACCACAACAGGCACACCTTGAATTCTGGCACTTTGATTGAAATTAGGCAATCTAGCTCTTAAAAAACAACAACAACAATCGCTCTTCTCCAAGGAGCTCTGGGAGTGGGTGTGGCTTTCCCTTCCCCATGTATCCTCACAACAGTCCTGCGCGGTGGGTTAGAGGGAGTGACTGGCCCATGGTCTTCCAGAGAGATTCGGTGTTGTGTGTCTAATAGCCTAACCTGGCCAGTTCCCCTGCGGCAGGAAAGCTTAGCCCCTACTGGCGATGGGACTTTGTGTATGCTCAGAGATCATTTGTTATCCAGTGCTGGCATTGTATCTCTTCTTAAAGGGGCCTGCCAAAGTTTAGGGATGGTCATATGGGGAGGGTGGTTAAAGGAACAGGCAGGGGGTTACGAAAGCTGCAAGAAAATGTCACACACACACACACACACCCATATCCACATGTCATGCCCTCTGTTGGCAGGTGAATTAGGTGTTGGAAAAACAGATCGGAGACACGAATGTTCTTAGCTGTTAGGTTAGTGCACGGGAGTCCTGAATTCAAATTCCCACTTTGCCGCGAAACTTGCTTGAGTTGCTTAGAGCCGGTTCTTCTCTCTCAGCCTAACCTGCCTTATAGGGTTGTTGTGGGGACAAAAGGGGGGGGAGGGAGGACCATGAGGTCTTGGGAGGGGGAATAAAAAGGTAACCGACTGAATGGATTGGGGGCGTTTTTCTGTTACGCCTTGGAGTAATCCACCCTGCCTGGCTGTGGCCCTCCATGGCGGAGGGCGGCCCCTCTTCTCCACCTCTGCTTGGGGGGCTAGGACCTCCCGCATCTCGTGTGAGCCCCGTGCTCTCTCTGCAAGGCCGTATCTCAGGGTTTGTGCTGGTTTTCCCCCCCCCCCCCCCCCGGTCTTTCCCCCTCCCCCTGCAGACGGAGATCGCCAAGCGGCTCAACGTCATCTGCGCACAGCTCATCCCCTTCCTGTCCCAAGAGGTGGGTGTCACCATGCTCTGCCTGCCCCTTAATCCACGAGGGGCTGTTGGTGTAGCTGTGTCATCCCCGCCCCCACCGACTTAAGCATGCAGGGAAATTTGGTAGAACCCTGTAGGGCCTGGAATGTTTGTGCGGCTGACAAAATGGCCCTTCTGGTGGTTGGAGTGTTTAGTGGGAGGGGAAGGGGGCTCTGCGGTGTGTTAGAAGAGAGCAGCGACCCCCTTGGGGTGTGGGTGAGGTCTGTTGGCGACCCCTGGAGAGTACAGGAATGCTTGCCTCGCCCCGCCTCCCCTTTTGGGTGGCCGTGGAGGAATGAGCCCGCTGACGTGGACCCACCAAGCTGCCTTATTACTCAATCGGACCCTCGGTCCATCGAAGTCAGCCTTGTCTATTCTGACCGGCAAGCGGCTCCCCAAGGTCCCAGGCAGCGGTCTGTCCCATCACCGACTGCCTAGTGTTTTTTTTACTTGGAGATGCCGGGGATTGAACCTGGGACCTTCTTCGTGCCACGCAGATGCTCTACCCACGGAGCCACGGTCCCTCCCTTTTTGTTTGTGTGGTTTCATGGAGCCTGCTGCTGTCGGTTGCACTACGTCGCATCCGAATGTTAGAATTCAGATTCGACTGTAGATGTTTTCTGCATCTTCAGTCTGGTGGTTGAGAGGAGCCCCGGAGACCTCTCTCTCTGCCTCCAGGAGACTGGAGGAAGAAGAAGACAGGGGCCCAGAGTAGAGATGTGAAGGCCCGGAAAAAAAACGGAAAAATTCGGGGGAAAACTTTTCCCCCCGTTTTTTTCCTGAAGCCTTTTTTGTTTTTTTCCAAAAAATTGGAAAAATTGAAAAAAGAAAAAAAATTGATTATGGAACGTTTTATTTTAACATGATGAATAAAATATTTTGACAAGGTGTTCAAATATTTTCCAAATCATTTCTAAAAATATATATATATGGTATCAGATTGATCTAATTTCTGTGCACTGAGGACAAGCAAGTCCTAGGTTACAAACTGAACTCTCCAATGCAAGAACAAGATGCATTTCTTCCTTTAGGAGGTGCGATTGTCAGAAGAAAATAAAAAAGGTTTCAGTTTTGTTTTTGCATGTGGGTGGGTATTCTGTTTGAAATAATTGTTTGGATACACTATATTTTTAATATGCTAATTGTGATAATTTCATGCCAAGTAAAAATGTCCATAGTCATATTTTATGTTCCTAAAGTAACAGAATGACTTTCAATCTAGAAAAGACAAAAGAAATGCTAATGTAGCATTTTTTCAATTTTTCCAAAAATGTCCGTTTCCCCCCGAAAAAAACCCGGGTTTTTTTTCCGAGCTTCAAAATTTCTGGAAATTTTACATCTCTAGCCCAGAGTAAACAGCTTTGTTTCCTGTGGGGTTGAGGATAAGGGTGCTTCAGCTAGAGGAAAAGTGGGGTTTGAAGAGGCCTGGGGGGGGGGCGGGTTGGAGGGATTGAGAAGAGAGCAGGCCTTTGGGAATGGGGGTAAGGAGATTGCCTAGGGCGCTGCTGATAAGGGGTGTTGCGTCCCTCCGGGGGTGGTCAGTCCTGAGGTCCCCGTGCTGCGGGAGGGGCCAGGAAGACGGGGGCGGTGTTCATCTCTCTGCTAACTTGAGTGTTGTTGTCCTCGTCTTCTTTTAACCTCTTGCAGCATCAACAGCAGGTGGTTCAAGCCGTGGAACGTGCCAAGCAGGTGACTATGGCAGAACTGAACGTGGCGATTGGGGTATGTGGACCCCTCCCCTCCTCCCGAATCCCGTGCTGTCGGTGGATCCTCTTAGTCACCCTTTGTGATTGGGGGGGTGTGGTGGGGTGATGGCAGGTGGGGTCCTCTCTGTGTTCTCCTGGTCCTGAAATCTAGGCCTGGTCTGTGCTTGATGCGCCGAGCTCCGTAGCTCACCAGCTTCGGTTTGGGGGAGCCCGTCCTGCCCGTTGACATCTTGATTCTTCTACGAATCCCCTCCGAACTCTTGGCTGCGGCTGAGGGGTGGGATCCCAGGCAGCTCGCAGAGCAGATGCGGGAAACCCACGCTTGGCTTAGGACTTGCAGCCAGAGACTTGACTAACTGAGCGAGAGAGCTGCTGAATATATCCAACTGTCCATTATTTAAGGGTTGCTACTCCTCGGGCCTTGCGTGGGCCAAATTTCCACAGTCTAAGTCATGCTTAAGTGCCTTAATCAATGGGAGGCAGTTTCAGAAGGTAGCCGCCGTTGGTGTGCAGTTAGAAGAGCTGGGTTCGAGTCCAGCAGCGCCTTAGACACCCCACACGTTTTTCAGGGTATGAGTTTTCGTAAGTGAGAGCTCCCTTTGTCATATACTAATAGGAACACGGTCCCTGTCTGATCCAAGGAGCTTTGATTCTTGAAAGCTCTTCATCCCCGGAATCTTGTTCTTCTCTAAGGACTCGAATTCACTGGGGGTGTACGTCATGCCTGTCCCTCCCACTGTCCTTCAGGAGGGAACAGTAGATGTCCCATTTTTTTCTGACTGGATATTTGTTGTGTCCTGGCACTTGGGGCGTCCACCTGTTCCCCGTTTCCGGAGCCCTGCGGAATCACGGCTTTGGGGGAGACGCAGGCCGCCTGATCTCGTCTCTCTGTTTTCAAGGCCCTTCCCCAGACGTCTCTGAAAAGCCCAGCGTGGCTAAAGTTGGAAGCTGAGGAAGGAAGGAAATGGGTGTATTGCTGGTGGTGTCCGTAACCGCACCACGGTCAGTGTGCGGATTAGGAGAGCCTCGACTGGGAGGGATGTGACTGGAATGGCAGCGGGTAATTGGATTTGGTGCGGTGAGCCGGGGAGCGGGAGGGGGGTAGGGGGCCGGAGATCCACAGGGCACCATTGAGAACAAAACAGGCTGCAGCTGGTTGGACCGAGGGGAATTCAGCATTATTCACGCAGAATGGGATATTCTCTGCCCCACTTCCGGCCAATCCTGCTGCCGTTTCTTTTCCCACTAAGAATGACCCACAGATTCAAGCAGGTTCATAAGGATGAATCAGATGGGCCTTGTCGCCTTCTTCAGGAGCCCTTTCCCGTACAGAGGAATAAAAATGTCCCGTGCCTCTTCGGGGAGACGCACAGGCTCAACCTTTGGTGGCTCAACCTTTGGTGAGCCTCCAATGGCTGGGGGACGATTCCCATACTTAAAGGCTGGCTTCTGCTGTGGAGGGATTCTCTGAGCTGTGCAGAGCCCAGACCTTTTTTTGGCTTTTTAGGTGATGCATTCGAGTGATTCTTGGTGACCAAATCACGCTTATCCCCAAGCTGAGGGGAAGGACCCTGGTGCTGTGAGATCACTGTCAGTGTACCAGCTGAAAGGAACTAGTGGGATAGTCAAAGATTTCTCTGAACCCAAAGTATGCGCCTACTGAGCAATGCTCCCTCTAAGGTGCGGAGTCTTGTGAGCAAAAATTCTACTTTGTGAGCTACTGGCATTAAAGCTGTGAGCAAGCAATTTGGCTCCTGCATAAATTAGTTTGCTCTGGAGCCCTCCTTCCTGAGCCGAGACAAAAATGTGTGAGCCAGAGGCTAAAAAACTGTGAGCTAGCTCACACTAATTCAGCTTAGAGGGAACACTGCTACTGAGGAGGCTGTCTGTTGCATCTCTGCATGAGTCACTTGTCTGGGCCTGCTTTATTTTCTTCCCATTTTGAGGCATCCCCTGAAGGGGGAGTCATGTAGAAACACTAAGGCGGCTTCTTTCCTGAGGGTGGGTTGAACCTTTGAAAACAGGTGATAGGCGTCAAGTGTGCCTCCAAATGTAATGCAGGAGAAAGTGGCATCATGAGTCAGAAGTTCGGGAAACACTGTCTTGAGGACTAGAAACTTGACTTTTTGGGGGAGGGGGCATGGAAAGCTCTTATGTCTGCTGACGTCTGCACCCAACTCCAAATCCCAAGCCCTTCTGCAAAGGTGTGCTCAGACAGAAGCTCGCCCCTGGACCGGTAAGTCCTTTTGTAACTCTGGTTCTCCCAAATTTAATTACTGGGGGGGGGGGAGCAGTTGGAGGAAGGTGACTTTGAAGTGCTAAAAAGACGAAAGGGAGGGGTGTGTGTGCCTACGTTTGCCAGTTGTCAGGAATGAGGGTGTCGAGTGTGGAGGCAGAATACAATCCAGGCAGGGGTGTGGGATTGGGTTAACCAATGAGGAGAAGCAATTGGCTTCTGTTCCTGAAAGCTTTTTGAGTACCAACGGTGATATTTAATTTAAAAGGCCAGGGAAGGGAAAGCTGACCCACTTTCTGGGGCTCTGTCAAAACCCATGTACTTAAAAATACGGGGAGGGGGAGGAGTGGGAAAGCGGAATCAGCCCACCCTTCGAGGCAGGAGGATTTCTCGGATCAGATTCTGGCTCTTCTCCCAGTTCTGGGTCTGCAACCTGCCCAGTCTGTTCTCCAAAATCAGAAAGGGTAGGTGTGCGATATTTGCCTAGGTATTGGAGGGGGGGGGCGCTACCTGTCTGTCCTGGAGTGGGGGGGTGCCCCTCCTCACAAGACCCCCACGCTGGGAGGTGGGAAGACCGAGCCCATCTCTGGGATCACACAAAACACAGAGTCCCTTCACAAATTGTCTGGCACAGCCCTTTCGATACGTGCAGTAGCACAAATTTAATTTTGTATTCTGCAAGTGGTGTTGCACATTCCTGGCTGCTCCTGGAAATTGCGCCCACGCAGCCCGAACTGCCAGGCGGATGCAAATGGGAGCCAGGGCACCGGATCAGCGCAGTGCCCACCACTCAGCTCCTTTTTTTGCTCTCTGAATGGCTTTGTTTTCCATCCGGCGGTGGGGTTCCTAACCTCCTTCCTGGCCCAGCTGAGTTATAACCAGCATTCAGCTGTCAGGTAATAGGGGAGCTTTGTGTCTGCTCCAGAGTTTGGATCTCTAGGTCTTTGGCAACGTGCCCCTTAGAGTAAGAAAGCGCCTATATCCTTTGGTCATTTATGTCTTTAAAGTGTGCCCCAACATTACCGGTCCTTGCTCACCGGGGGGCATTTTATCCGGATACTTCCTCAGACCAGAGCCGACCCAAAACCACGGGTGGTGGTGGTGGTGGAATGGCAGCTCCTAATTGAAAGCCTGGTGGAAGAGCTCCGTCTTGCAGGCCCTGCAGAACTGCAAAAGGTCCCTCAGGGCCCTGATCTCTTCCGGGAGCTCATTCCACCAGTGTGGAGCCGCC